CAGTTCATGTTGAAATTTCTCTTCCTGTTCCTCGCGTCTCTTTTCCGCGGCTATTCTCTCACTCTCCGCTTCCTTCGCCTTCCGTTCCAGCTCCTCGACTTTCCTCTTTTCCTCAACAATGCGCCGTAGATCTTCCTGAGCAGCGGCAATTTCACTTTCCAAAACGCATTCCATTTTAAACGCCCTCAAAGTGTTTTCCAGTTTGGCTTCTATTATGTCTGCAGTCAATTCAGCAAATAGTGGCTCAACGAATTTGATATAACTTCTACTGCAGATATTCTTTTCTATCGTATCATAAACGCTTCCAAAATCAGGCCAGGAGTTTTTGTTCATAGTTTCTGTTAATCTAACAGTGAGTTCAACCAACGCTTGGCCATCTATGTAACTTCCTCCAAGTGTCTTCTTTACTGGAAATTGCTTGAACTTTTCAACTAAACGTTCCATGACACCCCAGTACTGCAATTTACTGAGTTTGTCAAAATTACTCAACAAATTCCGTTCCCTCTCTTCTAGGTACGGAATCTGGATGACAGAAATTTGATTCCTTGGGAAGTGTTTAGCAATGATCTGCCTTTCTTCTTTCATGTTTTTTTGGAAGGAGGGTTCCACTATGCAATCTCTTGTGTAATCCTCGATGGTTTTTCCTTCCCCAGGATCTTTAAGTGACCCTTGCCGGATGACTACCTGTAGTTTTGGAAAGTTTTCCAAGCTAATGCTTGGGAAAACAAGATCACTCAAACGTGACATGTGAAACAGGAAGTGTAGGTTGTTATTTTGAACCATCTCCCGGACAAACAAGTTTAAACCGGATGATACCAGGGCTGTGAACATACTGAAGTGAGTCGTGAGAGCATCATCTCCTAAATTTGTACCTTCAACATCCAGTAACACAACGTTTCCGCCTTGTTCGTCACGGGGCTGAATAACCTGAGCCCACACGTCACGCGTGACAGGTCTGAATGTATCGCCCGTCTTGAAAACTTCTTCGATGTAGGTTTGATTCGCTCCACTCCAGATGTGTTTGATCAAGTTGAGTGTGGTCGATTTTCCAATTCTTGCATCTCCAACAACAGCAATTACACGTATTGGTCGCTGTAGCTCTGCGATCTCAAGCAGAAGATCATTGTTCAACTCAAACATTTCGGTTTCACTGTTGAATGTCAGCAAAGGTTGAGCTGGTTTCCCTTCAGAAGACCGAGCACAAAGCATCAGTAACGTGTACAACACTGGGAAATTCATCCTGTTCAACCTCAAGTCTAAACGATACTTGAGCGAAAGTACAGCGATGGTAACCGCTTAAAAGGTATTCTGCGTGATTACTAATTCGACGGTGTCACCAAGTACGGGTAGTTTCCCTCTAGAGTTCAAATAAACTTCCCTACTTTCGCGGTAATCGAAACTCAGACTAGGGGTTTTTCCCAGAAAGCGACTTCGAAAGTGTCGGTAAATAAACTTGCCATTAGTCTGCGTTTGCAAATTAGCTCCAGTCGTTTCTTTGTTATTTGCCACAGACGAGTAATTACCGAAACACTGCAGTGTCACCGCGAACAATAAGTTTTGGAACATACTGTGCCATTATCTCACGGTCCGGGCGGAGATTGGTAGGGGTAGGGAGGGTGTTATGTAGTTAATAGTGGCCAAGTGTATCTTCAGTACTTGACTGAATGAATTCTGTATCACTAAAGGACTATGCATAGAAGATGATAAAGCTAAGTTTAATGTTTATGGCTATGATATTCTTCTGCGATTCTACTGGTCACTGCCACGCTAAGGGGGACTGAAAAATCTGTCGGAGGGGATGGGGGAGGTGTAGTTATTTTCAAACATGACGACATTAGACGTTTCAGTCGCAATCAATCAACCATTTCCTTCCCTCTATTAGATTCTAAGAAAGTGAAAGCCACAAACAGAAGGGAAAATACCAGCGCCAAAGCTGGTTGACGTGTCAACATGTCGCCTTTGCTAGAGTCTTCTGCATGATGCCGCGAGGGTTTACCGGGCAGTATGTTCTCAACAAGAATCAAACCACGATGGANCAGTAACGTGTACAACACTGGGAAATTCATCCTGTTCAACCTCAAGTCTAAACGATACTTGAGCGAAAGTACAGCGATGGTAACCGCTTAAAAGGTATTCTGCGTGATTACTAATTCGACGGTGTCACCAAGTACGGGTAGTTTCCCTCTAGAGTTCAAATAAACTTCCCTACTTTCGCGGTAATCGAAACTCAGACTAGGGGTTTTTCCCAGAAAGCGACTTCGAAAGTGTCGGTAAATAAACTTGCCATTAGTCTGCGTTTGCAAATTAGCTCCAGTCGTTTCTTTGTTATTTGCCACAGACGAGTAATTACCGAAACACTGCAGTGTCACCGCGAACAATAAGTTTTGGAACATACTGTGCCATTATCTCACGGTCCGGGCGGAGATTGGTAGGGGTAGGGAGGGTGTTATGTAGTTAATAGTGGCCAAGTGTATCTTCAGTACTTGACTGAATGAATTCTGTATCACTAAAGGACTATGCATAGAAGATGGTAAAGCTAAGTTTAATGTTTATGGCTATGATATTCTTCTGCGATTCTACAGATCACTGCCACGCTAAGAAGGACTGAAAGATCTGCCGGAGGGGATGCGTGGGGGGGGAAGGGGCTGGTTATTTTCAAACGTGACGAAATTAGACTTTTCAGTCGCAATCAATCAACCATTTCCTTTCCTGTAATTCTAAGAAAGTGGAAGCCACAAACAGAAGGGAAAATACCGGCGCCAAAGCTGGTTGACGTGTCAACATGTCGCCTTTGCTTGAGTCTTCTGCATGATGCCGCGAGGGTTTACCGGGCAGTATGTTCTCAACAAGAATCAAACCACGATGGACTCTGCAACAGAAGGGTTTCAAGTTGTTTGGATGCCTTTTATTCTTTTGTTTGGCCACTACTGTTCAAGGGAAAAAAGCTGAGCTCTTTCTTAATTTCGACACCGATAGTGAAACATTTGAGTTAACGCAAGAGGGCAAGAACGAAATTTCAAAACTACCTAGTCCCATTCAAGTCATTGCTTTTCTTGGAGATGCAAGAGCTGGAAAATCGACTGCACTCAACACAATAATTCACATCTTAAGTGGAAGTGATCAGAGCCACATCGAAGAGATATTTCCGACTGGTAACACTATTGTGTCTGTCACTCATGGCGTCTGGATTCATACCATTCATCCACAAAATGAAGGGGGAGGCTCCCTTATTCTACTCGAGGTTCAAGGTATAAAAGTAGGGGAAGATGTCTCAGTGTACTACCTTAGCTTGTTCGCAGCACTTATTTCGTCCGACGTGAACGTTTTTGTCCGCGAAAGGTTTGACAATAACAACCTGCACTTTTTGTTCCTCATGTCACGCCTGCGTGATCTTGTTTTCCCGAATGTCCATGTAGAAAGCTTTGCCCCACTCGGAGTTGTTATAAGAGATGCACTTCGGGCCCCGGACGGTCACACAATTGAGGACTTCGTTAGAGACTTTATCGTGGAACCTACATTTGAGAAAAACTTACAAAAAGAAAGGGAAACCATTGCCAAATACTTCCAGAAGGATCAAATTTCTGTGAGCCAGTTTCCACACGTCGCCGATCGTGAAGTGTTACGAGATGCGGGAAAACTGAGCGGGAGTGATTATGGACTCGCAATGGAATTCTTGGCTGCAAAGTTCAAAGAAGTTCCAGTAAAGACGTCTTCTACGGGACTTCCTCTAGATGGGAAAGCATTGGTGAAACAGGCTGAAGGAGTGACAGAATCCATAAATAAAAACTCCTGGCTTAAGTTTGGAAATCTTTATGAAGTAATGGAAAACAGTAATTGCAAAAGAATTCGAGAAAAAGTCATCAAAGACATATTTTCGTTGACAGCTGACGAAGTGGAACATAAAATAGATGGCGCTTTAAATGTTTTAAAGGAAAAAGGCATCTCAGAAAGCGAGATTAACACTGTTAGAGAAGATCTCCAAGAAATTGTCAAGGTGAAGAGAAAAGAAGAAGAAGTCAAACAAAAGATACAAAATGCGGTGGACAAACTGGTTAAGACAGAAATAAAAATCAAAGAAATTTACGAGACATTTCAAAAGATACTTGCCGAAAAGGATAAAGAGTTCGCCAAGGAAAAAGAAGCTGAAGAAAACACGAAAAAGAAGGTGAACCATCTTGAGCAGTTATGTGAGGAAAAAAGGCGATCTATTCAGTCACTGCAGAAAGAACAAAGTGATTCGAAAGTTAACTAAACAGGTTAATCCAAGATCACTTGGACCATGTGGTTCATCAAGGAAACCAAAGAATCCAGTCTAGAGAATGCAATAATAGATTTTCCCAAAGAAAGTAATATCGCTATTTTCTCATATGGCCAACAACCGGATTTTTAAAATGAACGCAATCACTCAACGCGACCTGTTGAAAGGAACTAAGTTTTGCGAAAATATTTCAAATGCGATCCATTTTAACAAACCGATAGTCTCATATTTTAAATCTACATAGCCATATTTTACAATGATACTTGACAGAATTACAGCATGAATGGAAAAATTACATTCACTAATCTTGATCGAGTTATCTAAAACAGAATAATATTATTAGCTGTAATTACTATAGTTCTCATTTATACACGTTATGTACTAAAACGCCCAAAGTTTTCATCAAACTCATTATAAAATGTTACTACTAGTCCTTGCTTTCTATTCGTTTTTCTATCATGGGAGGCGAGGTAGCCTAATGATTAGAAATGAAGCGTACATCCTCTCCACTCCTGAAGTCATCAGCGTAGATAACCCCTCCCCCTCCAAGCCCCCTCCCCCACCCCCACCAAAAAAGAAAAGGCCGGATGTGAGTTCTCAAAATATCTACCGGAAGTTCTAATTTCCTATTCATAACTACTCCTCAGCTTCAGTTAGCCTGAGGACACTAGCTGAAAATCATGATTACAATTTCTCGAATATAAAATGCTACACAGCGGAAGTAAAAATCCATTGGAAAATATTGTTTAACTTGAAATTCACGCGGAAGGAGCTTCATTAAAAACTCTTGGATAATTTTCCAAAATTTAAAAAGCAACTTTTACGAATAACGCGGGTTTTCGAGCACTTTATGTTCACAGAGCAAGCGTACAAAATTATAACGGTTCGCAAGAGGGGCGATTGCCTTGGCACTCTATAAGCTGATCTAATTTTGGTAGGACTTTTCCGTCCAGAGATTCGAGTTCTTGGCTTGTTGTATCCGAGTAGGTAAACTGAATCGCTGATAGCATTACTGGACAATATGGTAGAAGGTTCAGTTAACTTTCATTAAGTCAAAACCGATAACGTTTTGATTCCAAAGTGAGTCACACTCGACGAGCGCGTTCGGAATAACAACTGAGCCACCTTAAACAGCTGCACGCTTACTCTACAATCAGTGACAGCCCGCAGGAATAACAAGTGAGCCACCTTAAAAAGCTGGACGCTTATTCTACAATTAAGGATGACCTTTCAAGCACATTGGGTAAGAAGCATTCTTGTTATACGTAAGTGCCTCGTTGATCATATCCCGCAAGGCGTCAAACTGTACACGCAGATAACCATCGTTCCCCTCTGTCACGAGCCTTGGATAGAGGGCTTGGACTTCCTGTGCAATCACTCCGCAGGCATTCCCTTTAAAACCAAAGGTTTTCTCCGCGATTGCATTCCACTCCCAACACACTACTCTGATTCCAATGATGCTGTATTCAGAACGAGGTAATGTTATTATATTTTGCTTCAGCCGCTCGTCACTATTCACTAT